CTGTTACCTTCCGTTAAAAACATTGCAGCAGTTATACGTTGCATTCAGTGCCATCATGACATCACCCATTGGTTTGTGGACAGTTATTCATTATCCCTGTTATATGGTGAATGCTCTTGTCCTCTGCTTGGAGGGTAAGGAGCTCCCCAAATGCAATGTTTTCCCAATTTGCAGGCATTTTTGGCCACTGCTCTTCTTTGAGTTAGCCACTAACTGCTAACAGCTACTTTTTAAATCTCCCACAGTGGGTTGCCACATAATATTTCATTAAAATGTCACACCTGTTGTGTTGTAACTGTTCCGGTGAGAATTTAATTTCTTGCCATCTAGTGGCTGTTTCTGAAGTTCGGAATAACTGGGGAATAAAGCGGCTTTCACACAGAGCACGATTTTCACCGCGCCCACCGCGGGGTAAGGTGCAGAGCAAGCGGAGAGCAAGGCGTGCAAGCACGCATTGCACACATATTTGGCGCAAGTTGCTAAGCGACTGAAAAGTATTCTGGTTCCAGTCTGGCGCCCTTTTCCAGTCTGACGCCCCGCACACTCCACCACATTCTCTGCTATTGGACACGCCGAGGTGTCGTCACAGCGCGTTGCGGTCAAATTAAAAAATGTTCAATTCGAGCGCAGGCTGGCGGCACGCAGACGCTGCGGCAGGCGTCCTCTTGCGCACCGCTCAGCACGGCGGCAGAGCATAGCGCTGTTGCGCCACGGTAGCACATACACAATGAATAGGTTCGTCGGCGGAGGTCTGCGCTTTGCGCGCTCTGTGTGAAACGGGCTTAACAGTTTACCCTTGCTGCCCATCATCCTGTCCTGCCAGTTGTCCTTTTTATACAGACATTGTTTCAGCACTATTACTACCTCCAATGATGGCTTAAAGGTGAAACAGCTCTGGTACCTTGCACATCATATCTTGAGGTGGAAAGTCCATGACCAAACGCTGATATGTGACAAGGTCGGAGTGAGAATGTGTTGCCTGTACAGTTGTCATGAATGTTAAAATTAGCTATAGAGACCCAAACCATTTTTTGCACTAGGCTGTACACATTTATTTCTTTAATGTTTGGCAATATAACGTGGGAGTCTGTGGGACTTACTTCTTAAACCAGCCTCAAGTGGCCGTTAGAGGAACTGCAGTTTTTTTGCACTTACATTTTGGCTTCATTTTTCAGCCCTGGAGGTTGCAGCTCGATAAATGCATCCCAAAACAGCCATGTTAAACTATATCTTTGTGTAGCGTGCGATAAAAGTGCATATGATTTTCTGATTTTATTTTAATGAGAAATCTGCGAAGAATGGGTTGAGCATACACTCATGATGGCTTGCCATACTTCGCACATTTAGTAAAAGAGCAGTGATGACGTCATTCCTTTCTGCAGGCTACTACAGGAGCATCTGTTTTACTGCAGGTGTCTCTATACTACACATGTGGCCTGAATGCATCCCTACAGAAATGCAGAAAGACACTGGCTTATGAGCACTCCATTTAGCCACAGAATGGGACAGTTGTGGGAATAAGAACATGAAAGAGGACAGGGGAGGAAATGTGTGAGCGTGGGAGGTGGAGGGATGGTGGGGTGGAGGTTCATGGGTGGGGCTGGTTGGTGGGTGGATGTAAGAGACTCCCTAGACGCCTGCAGCAGGTAATGGAGCTTTTAGCATGGAAATCAGAGAGAGAGAGAGGTGGTGATGGTGGCAGTTGGGGGGGGGGGGGTTGGACATGAAATTGCTCTGAAAGACCAGAGCTCCCCTGTGGGTATACTTGAGGTGCCTAGTCTCATTAGAACATTCATATCTTGGTAGTACTGGATCTTTATACTGCCACATTGACCAGGAGTACCTGAGAGGTTGAATTAGACAGGAGAAAACCAGATGGGGAGCCAGGGCTGGAGTTAGACTGATGCTGTGATACAGGGGAAGTGATTTTATTGTGAAGCAGGTTGGTTTCCTCTGGTAATATGGGGTATAATGACTATGATAGTAATGCTTAGTAATTATATCAGCCCTCATAGAAGGCCATAGATTTAAAACAAGTAATATTTGTATTTTGATTACTTGTTGCATTACTACATTACAGTTTATCCATGTTTATTACCAACTTGGCTCTTATTGTTGTGGTTTGGGCCATTGGTCTGACAGGTGATTGGTGATATTGTACTCCCCAAGTTGATTCCTCAGAGCTGGGAACTTGGCCACATGAAGAAGAATCATGTTGGGGAGAGAAACACAAGCAGGATAGAGTTTCAACAAATCCCCCATGATTAGGCAGGCTTCTTTGAAAAAGAACACTTAAGGCACATGGGTAAAATTATTACCCAGACTATTCTTTATGAACATCTGTCCAGCTCTGACCCTTACTGACTGTAGTTCTGTGGGCACAGCTTTGCGTTATTATATTAGCATTTTTCATTAGTTTTTTCCTCTTTTTTTATTTTTTATTTTTATTGAGTTTAGTTTCACTTAGTTTCCAGACTGGGTTTGCTCATTTCAGTTTAGATTTTATTGTCTAAAATGGTTTGGTTTTAGTAGAGTTTTTATTTGTTTCACTTTTTTTTCCATTATCATAAGTATTATATGGGGGTATCGGGGGCGAGATTTATTACGTTAAGAAAAGGTTTTACAATGCGAACATCAGTTTGTGAAGGCAATTGATTCACAGTCAACTATAGACATTTCCTGTATATTATTGCAGTTTTGTGAGTACACAGTATCATTTCATTTCATTTTCTCTTTTTTTTTCTTAAAGTTTTGTTTTTATATTTATTTCAGTTAAGGTAACACTTTGTAATAACCATTAAAAAATGGTGAATTTACAGTTAATTTAATATCAGTTAATAGATGTTTTGCTGTATACAATGAAATTCTAATTAATAATAGTTACTTACTGTTAGTAATGCTATAATTTATGTTACTGTTAACAATTATAAATATAGATTAAGAGATATAGAGTTTAATTAATCTCAATTAACAATTTATTCATGATGGTTATTACAAAGTGTTAGCCTTCATTTGCCTGAAATACTCTGTACAATTCTTGAGAAAGGCCTTAATTTTATTGTAGTCACTCCCCTGATAGGCCCATTGTTGATTGTGTTGTACTTTTGGTGACTTGTTAAGACATTGGTTATTTTACATTTCCACCTTTATCAAGACATGAGTCCTCAAGTCAAAACTGAGTTCTATTTGTACAGTATGCATAATGGTTTATGTAGGTTGATAAAATGAATCATGATGCATCATATCTTATAAGCATAGGCATTGTAATTATGCATGGAGATACTTAGATTGGGAGTTAGGAAAAGAGACTGAAAGTGATCTTTTGAAGAATCTTTATTTTTATTTTTTTTACTCAAATATGGTTTTGGCTCTGAAAATAGATATGAAAAAACCTTACATCATCTGATTTGTCAGGGCCAACTGAGAGGATTATAGAAGTTATTAATTTCCTACAGTACATTCCTACAGTTTTTTATTTCTTTGCCTTGAGAAAACAAATCTGTTTGACTCTGAACAAACAAAGAGCTATTTTCATGACTCATGACTTTATCTCATCACCATCCTACTGTAAGTTCTATTTGAGGCTGGATCATAGATTTAGATATGTCTCCCTCCAAAATGAGTCTGTCTGTGTTATATTTAGCGTATCCACACTTTAAGTGGCTCTACGGGGCAATAACTCTTGTTTTATTGCAGCAAATTATCAAACAGCCAGGCTTGTTGGTTTTCCTTGTACAAGAGGAGAAATATGCCTTGTTATCTACTGGCTGTTATGCTCGGGTGGTCCAAAAGTAGATTTTTGTTTATTTTATTTTAATCATGGAGATCAAAAAGAAAATAAGTGGGAAAAACATGGTTGTGTCCCTGGTGGTCTATTTTTTTTTCTTTTATGAGGGATAATTCACTGCAAACCTATTAACGTAAAATATTCTCCATATGAGAAAAATATAAGTTCTTCAAATGACTTTCCGCTCTCTATCTATCCAAGCTGGCATTGTGATGACTGCATATATTACACTGTAAAAAGAAAGTATTGTTTTTTTTACTCAATAAATGTTAGTGTCCTGGCTGCCTTCAAATTTTTGTTGTCTGAATTTAAGGGGACAAGTTGAATCATTTCAAAATTGCCTCAATTTGTCTTCTCAAATTCAGTCAACTAAATTGTGAAGGCAGAGAGGACACTAACGTTTAGTGAGTAAAAACAAATGCTTTCTCTTTGCAATCTAACTCCCCTTAATTTTCCTGCTCTCCTGTCACTCATCAGCTCTTTTTTTCACAAAGGCTAATTTGTAATAGCTTGTTGTTTATCATTGTTCGTTTGGTTTAAGGAGTGTGCTTTTAATGGCAGTTCTTTTGTACTTGCATATTTTATATAGAGCTGTGACGAACAATCTATTAGTTGTCAACTATTGAATTAATCACAAACTAATTTGAAAATCAATTAACTTAAGTTTTTTTTTTTTTTTCAGAAAAAAAAAGTCAAAATTCTCTCAATCAAGCTTCTTTAACCACTTTTTGACATTTTTACACCAAATAACTAATTGATTAATCAAGGAAATAATCAACAGATTAATCAACAATGAAAATAATCATGAGTGGCAGTATTATACTTTGTAATTGTATTTTTCTATGTCAATTTGTGAAGGACTTGTTACAGAACAAAGAGATGTATTTCTTATTTCTCAAAATTCTCAAAAAAAAGAAATTCTCAAATTTCCCTGCAAATATTTGTTTATTTGAGAAGTTTTTGTTTACACCATTACGACCTATCTTGCTTTCAGTTATGAAAAACCAATCCTATTAGGAAACCAAATACCTTTTTTTTTTTTTTTTAAGAGGGACTATGTCTTTTATTAAAAGTCATTTTTTATACATGCATATCAGTTGTTGGTGGGTGAAGGAAAAATTCTTGCTCCTGAACACTTCTGCTTAAGTCTCTACTAATAATGAAAAAGAAGGATAACACAAAAAATTCCTCTGTTCTTTGTCCTCTCATGCAGGGTTCCTGAGTACAGGTGACCAGGCAGCCAAGGGGAATTATGGCTTGCTGGACCAGATCCAGGCTTTGCGTTGGACCAGTGAGAACATTGCAGCCTTTGGCGGCGACCCGTTACGTATCACTGTGTTCGGCTCAGGGGCCGGAGCTTCCTGTGTCAACCTGCTCACGCTGTCTCACTACTCGGAGGGCAACCGCTGGAGCAACTCCACCAAAGGTAAAATTCACAAGTCACTGGGGCATTGACGTGGGATCTTCATGTATATTTAAGTATGCATGCAGTATGTGCACCTCAGTAGTGTGTGACCATGTGAGATCTTGGTGCAGAGGAAACTCAACAAAGTTTAGTTCAGCAGATTCTTTTGTTCTCATGGAAGAGCTGCCTTTCCTGCATTTCATTAACTACAACACTCAACTGTGATAATGACAGGTTACCTGAGTTCAAATAGTGTTGTTTCCACCTGGCCAAACAATCTACCTCTCAAGAGAAAACACGCCAGAGATTAAATTAAATGCTTCAAGCATGCCTGGCATGATTGCACCGTGACTAACTTGAAGAACTTTGGATTGGTTATAATCTTGTTTTAAAGGCGGGCGGACACAAGCTATATATACATTATAAACACAAACCCTGGTGTAGACATAAAGCACTGCCCTTTAGGGGACTTTGCCCAGTTGGATATTGTGTTTCCACCCAGAAATAGCAGTATATACACTGAGATGTTAGACAATACTGCAAGAAAAAAGGAGGCTTAGTGAAGGTTTTTCTTAGTGTAAGCAGTACATTTCATTCTAACGTGTTTGTCTGACAATATAGTGATGTTTTAAAAACCCACATACACTTGCTAATTTTGGTGGAAAAGTGGTATTGTGGACCGATATGACCTTCAAGGTTACGGTCTCATGACTGACAGGGGTAGTTTAACTAGCAGTATCACTAACAGTCTAACTGGCTGAGTCTTATGCTGACTGACTACTACTAACCGTATGACCTATTACTGCAGTGTTATCTTGTAGACGGTACCAGCTGAGGGTTTGACAGAGTTTTCCTATTGAGTTTGTTTTAAATAAATGTGAATACAATGAACACATTTCAGTCTAAACTGATAATTAATAAATTAGATTTGTTGTGTTTTTTACTTTTATTATCTAATATATCTCTGAACAGACTTTCTGGACTGAGCTGATAGAGGTCTTTTTTGGACAACAGACACATATTATAGCATTTGCAGGAAAACAATGTGATCATAAAACAGACATGATAGAGTTAACTGTGGTTTTAAAAACCTGATAAACTGGAAGTTGTTGGCATGAACATTCATAAAGGGTTCTATCAGGGACACTGACTCAAAAAATAATTGTGAGAAAAACAAACAAAACATTATTTTTTATTGACATTTGAAAATGTTTACATAGATTTCAACTTCAGCTATAAGGTACTGCTTTGTCAAAAGTAAATATCAAAATGAAGCACGTTGATGAGGTTGTTAGGTCTTTACCTTTTCTGTAGAGAAGAGTGTACATTTGATGCATACATACACATACATACATTTCACTGATCATCGTCTTACACTACAACTGCACAAGCTTAAAATGCATCTGTCCCGTGACCTTTGCCTTGCAGGTTGTGTATGTGGGATTGACTCAAGGTGAACCACAGGGGCTCTGTGTGCATGGCAATAAAGGAACATGCTATTCATTGATGAGTTTATAGAATCTACAGTATAACCTGCTTTGCCTTTTTTCCAAGAAAACGTTTTAGAAACAGATGATAGGTGTGATTGGTAGTCTTTGCCTTCAGAGGAAGTTGTTTTTAGTCCTCAAACCAGAGTTTCAGGATGATAATTTGTTGCTTTGTTTCCTCCTCTGCTGTTTCGTCTTCCCAGGGCTGTTCCAGAGGGCCATTGCACAGAGTGGCACAGCTCTGTCCAGCTGGGCTGTAAGTTTCCAGCCAGCCAAGTATGCCCGAATGTTGGCCCGTAAGGTGGGCTGTAACTTGGAGGACACTGTGGAGCTCGTGGGGTGCCTTCAGAGAAAACATTACAAGGAGCTGGTGGATCAGGATATCCAGCCAGCCCGCTACCACATCGCCTTTGGACCTGTTATTGATGGAGATGTTATACCTGATGACCCTCAGATACTTATGGAGCAAGGTATTAATTCATTTTGCTTAAGAGCCAATGGCTAAGATTGCCCTTAAATTTTCACCTAAGAAAGCCTGAGAAAAAATAATGAGTTGCATAAAATTTCCTTTGGATGTTGTCAGGGGAAGTTCTTTGATCTCTCAGTGTTTGTCCTTGTCCACTGGAATTTGGCAGTGATAGAAGGTCATTAGTAATTGTTGCCCTCAGAAATTTTATCAGACCCATACCAGTCTCTTAAAAGTTCGTTTATCTGTGGAATATGAGACAATAGCTGCATTTGTGGTGACTGAGGAGGAGTAGGAGGTAGGACACATTTTTTAGGAAGGGGAAAACCCACTGGACAATATGAGTGATGCATAACTTGTGAGAGCAGACACCATCAGTCTATCTTCAAAATCTCTGCCAAAACTCAAACACCAAACTATTATTTTAATTTACTTATATTACTGAGTTGTTCTGCTGAATTTGGCATCATGTTTCACTCAGTAGAACTTCAGTGTCATAAATCTGCAGTGATAAAAATAAGTAAAGTGCATTATTAAGAGCTTCATCCTTTAAATTTCTCACTCGCAGAGGTCAGTTTTCAATAAGATTTAGGTATGGCTTTTCCCATCTTGGAAAAAAATTGTTCCTTTTTAAAAGGTTACTTTTGTCCATGTAACCATGTTTATTCGTTTCACTCATAGTGACATGTAGTCTGAAATTAACACCTAAATTAGGAGTTCCAGTATGTTATTTCTATGGCCGAGAAAAAGTCTATGAATATTTGGAAACATGAGCTACTCTCTCTCAAAGCCAGAAACCAGAGAGGTTAGTCTCAAACTTGTGATGCCATAGGAATATAAAGTCTGAAGCTGCTCCATAGACAATGAATGGGAGGCTGATTTTTTGAGAACATTTCGCTGGCTGCTCTCAGTGTAACATCTTTTCAAGTCATTATCTATGGAGCTATTTTTGGACAGTTTTAGATCATAGTAATAGCACGTATGAATTCAAAAATGGGCACAGTTCCTCTTTAAATGTTTGCTGACTGAGCTAGTGTCTGTTCATGAATCATGAGAAATCATAAATAATCTTTCAGATGGAGTAGATGTTCACATGAAGCTAGCTCAGCTCCGTTAAATTTAGCAACCTGTTAACAGGGCTCGGCAACACATATAGCCTGCACATTAGGCCTACTTGTTGTTGTTTCACTGGTGGTCCTCCTACTGCAAACACGGCATTTACAGCTCACATTGCTCACGCCATGTGCCTGTGCTCTGTTATGCTTGGGTTAAATTGACTTTGAAGTACGTGCTTGCATTTTCCTTATTCTTCAAGGAGAACATTCTCATCTTCTGTCCAGTTTGGCTTTCTTATTCTGTTTGTATTCTCTTTGTTGTCCATTTTAGAGAAGCTAGCTTACACTGACATTACTGCTGTCAGGCAACATTAAAGGATGATGATGTGAGTGAAGTGTAACCATTGTAACTGAAGTCTACATGTGCTATGTTATCACAGTATCTACCTTGTAAGCCTTAGTCTCAACGCCTAGGCAAGGAGACAACCTATCAGGCTTTATGTGATGCTCCTATATGAACCTCTTAGTTTGGGGGAATATTTTGCATAAGGGACGGACTTAGGCTTAAAACTTCAGGTAATTTATGCAACCGGGCACATCAATTTCCAACAGTGTTTTTACCCTTTATTTTTACTATTTAATAACTATCTGCACCATCTCTTTCAAGGTGAGTTCCTCAACTATGATATTATGCTGGGAGTTAACCAGGGCGAGGGCCTTAAGTTCGTGGAGCTCATTGTGGACAACGAAAATGGTGTTCAAGCGAATGACTTCGACTATGCGGTGTCCAGCTTTGTGGATGACCTCTATGGCTACCCAGAGGGCAAAGACATCCTCCGAGAGACCATCAAGTTCATGTACACAGACTGGGCCGACAGGCACAACCCAGAGACCCGCCGGAAAACACTTTTGGCCCTTTTCACCGATCACCAGTGGGTAGCACCAGCTGTCGCAACAGCTGACTTGCACTCCAGCTTTGGATCACCGACATACTTCTACGCCTTTTACCACCACTGTCAGACAGAACAGGTGGGTCTCTGGATGTCTGAATAATGGCAAATGTATTTTATGGATTGTCAATAATGATGAAAGTTACAAAATTCTGTTGGCTTGTTCTTTGTCTCGCCAGGTAAAGCTTTCAGTTGCTACTCACAGAGACAAAACCACAAAGCCACAATCTGAGATATCTCGAGATTATAAAGAATTCATTTTATGTTTTAAAGTGCTACTGGTAATTTTAGCATTTTTATATCAGTTACTTGTACTGTATCAACTCTTAAACAGGGGTGGAGCCAGACGTTGTAAAACTTCAGAGCTCAGCCAAAACCTACTGTGCTCCGGGGACGTGCTCCCCTGGGGAGATTTTTTTTCCCCATTTGCTACAGCTGCATGCTCTATTTTTCAAGCCATTTAAGATAATAGATTTTTTTAGAAATCTCTACATCATTTGGGAAAAACATGAAAAAACTCATCCATTAGAGCAGTGATATCCATCTTATGGCCCGCAGGCCAAATCTGGCCCACGATAGGGTGCCACACTGGCCCACCAGCTATTTTCTAATTCACAATAAAAACATAGTGATTCACACTGGGGATTTTTTTTAAACCCTGAATGTAAACAAGGTGGTAGTGTGTAAAAAAAATCTAAATAGAGCTTGTTTATCAGTGCCAGGGGAGGATCCCCCAAAGCCCTGAGCTTCCTCACTTCCCTAGAAACTGGCCCCTGGACTCATTTTGCAAAAGTGGTTCCGCGTCTGTACCCGCCAGCCGACTTGGGCCCTTCTGTTTAGAGTTTATGTGTTCTCCCAGTATCAGCGTGCGTCTCCACCTACAGTCCAAAGACATGCAAGTTATGATGTGGAGGATCCGGATAGGTTCTGGTGACTTTAAGTTGCCCGTAGCTGTGAATGTGTGCCTGAATAGCTATTGCCCAGGGTGTATCCTGCCTCTCACCCAATGTTAACTGGGACTGAGGATGACTTATTTTGACTCCTGCCACCAAAAAACAGGCAAAATTGTCTGCTTGTATTATTTTGAAGTTGTAAGATCTAGGTATGACAGGAATGTGGTGTAAACAGCATTACTAATCTTTACACTTTGATAGAGTACAGTTCACAGAATGAATGTTTAGCTGACAAATCTGTCACATTTGAATTAATGCCTTAATAATCTGGGTTGCTCCAAATAAAAATTAAGGATCCTCAACAATGCAAGTAAATTCTATATTCAGTACTCTGAATTGAGTATTAGGGCAACAGAAGAATGTTTACTCAATTATATTAGGTTTTTTTAGGGAGTAGCAGAGTAGGATTTACAGCAAGTGCATATGGTATATTATTTATTTATTTTGATTACATTAAGTTGAAGCTCTAAAGGTGCTTTCAAGAAGTCTGGTTCCAGAGTCCTGGATCATCCTCCACACCTCTGATTGGGGGATTCAAATAGTCACAAAAAATGTGGATGAGATCGTCTTAGCTGTACATAGAATTAACTACTCATAAATTGTCTTATTCTTTGATCATCATAAAAACTGTTAAGGTAACTACTCTTAACAGCTGCTACTGGAGCCCCTTTTACACTGCCTAATCATGGCGGGATTATCACCCTGTTCTGCCGCTTGCCTGTAATTTGCATGTTGAATGAATATCACATACACTGAAAAGTATTGTATTTCATGTCTCCATCTGCTGGTGGGCCATCACGATAAGAGTATGTATGCATAATATGATGTTAATTCCACTACAGAAGGGACTTGATGATCCCTAAAATTAGGTTGGGGAAAAATTGATATATCGATATTGGTATTGTGTATCAGTCAAATAAGTTGTTACATATCGGCATATCGATAATTGGCAAAACAAATCCAATATTGTGCATCCCTTATTTGAACTGAATGAAAAGAAATTTTCCCCTCACTTTATTTGCGCAAATTTGAACTTGTTTTACATCTGCGAACTCTTGTTCATCTTGTTTTTCTCCACACTGGTTGACTCTGTAAATTCTGGTGGAGAGGAGTGTGGAGTTAAAATATTGTCAGCTCATGCGGACATGTCTTTGCTTCAGTTTGCACCATCTGCAGCAAATTATCATGTTTTTGCATCCATTCACAGCTCCCTATTGTCTTTGTATGCAATTGCACCACCTCTGAAATTTGCATTTTCCTCGGCTTGAGCACATCTTAAGGCTTTAAATGTACTAAAAGAATCATTGTACACAATTTCATTTTCTATAATTACTGTAATCCAAAAAGACCATCACTGAAGAGCAGGCAGCCGGTAGCCGCCTCCACACAAAGTTTTAGAATGGATTTCTTTGTGTCACATTTGGGTAGAGATCTCTGTGAAATTTAATTGCTTTGTGACATGTAGGCAGATTGCCTTACAGTACAAAGATAACACTTCATGGCACAAAACAAGGTCTAATTTTATTCCCATTGCATTATTGTTAGTGACTACAGCCAAAGAAGAGACACTTTTTTGAGTTTTGGCTTCTTAACTCCTTTCTCCTGGTTTGACTTGTATAACTACTTTCTGCATATTTTGTTATTTGCTTATACACAGCTACACTGACTAATTAGTCCTAGTTCTTAGTCCTAATGCAGTACTGAAAAAAACTGAGGAGTGGTGATTAATTCCCCACATTTTCTTTTAGCATATTTTTCGTTCAACAGGCTACAGCGCATAACGTGTATTTCAACATTTTAGTTTAAAATTCAGCCCAAAGCCATCCTCTTCTGTCTGTGCCATTCCTTTATTCCCCATCTTGTCTCTCTCTGTAATACAAAGAATAATGGGCCAGATATGGCAGGCAAAATAATATTAAAAACTTATATCATTTCCTTTTTTCTTTCTCAAAAGTATTGTATCTTCCCAGCTTCTTTGATCAGCCTGTGTCTGTGTATGGTCAAAACATCCACTGTGTGTCAGCAGCAAAAATAATGCCTTTCATTGTCCTGCATCTGTCACATAAATGTAATAATACTGATCTGATTTGAATCATCTGCTGCTCATTAGGTACCACCGTGGGCAGACGCAGCACATGGAGATGAAATCCCGTATGTGTTTGGCCTACCGATGATTGGACCAACAGAGCTGTTTCCCTGCAACTTCTCCAAGAATGACGTGATGCTCAGTGCCGTGGTCATGACCTACTGGACAAACTTCGCCAAGACAGGGTATGATGCCACGACAAAAGTGGCCACTAGGGGCTAATATTACTCACTGTCTGTGTTATCCCCCATGACTGGGGCAGTGCCATTGTGACTGACAAAAACCTGTGTTCAAATAAGCTAGTTTGAAAGTCCAGGTTTACGCATTAAGAACGCTGACTGAAGTAGTTTGTAATAGTTACATCCAAGTTTTGTCAGTGGTTTAAGGAAAGAGGATAAACAAAGCTCCAATCAGCAAGAGTGCATTTTTGCAGCCTGGAGTGGCTTCTTGTAATTGTTTCCAATGAGAGTTAAGCATTTTGCTCACTGCTTTTGTGTCACTGAGAACCTCCCATTTTTCCCTTCTTGGCACTTTTTTGCTTGAGGGCCCTGAACGCCTCAAGCTGAAAAAACTTCAACTCAGAGCCGGAAAGTACCCATCATCATTGGTGTTTTTTCCCTTTGTTTAATTAGATTAATTAAGAGGCGGGAGCCTTTGTGGTGTTGATGACAGCAAGTGATAGGGTACATGGTTTGGGTTTACGTAACATGAGCTCACTTTAATCATTGCCCTGGGAAAGCCGCTAGACATATCTTAACAAACTATAGCCTCAAGTACTTTCTAACTTTTTATGAACTGTAATTAGGCCAGACACTTGATAGCAGATTGTCTCATCTGACTGACTCATCCTAAAGTAAGCCTTGAACTGACCATCATCCAGGCGAAAGCTCCCGCACAGATTGCCATTTCCCCGCTAAAGTTCCAATATTGAATTAAGTCAGATTTCTTTCTTTTTTTTTCTTATTAAGTAGGTATAAGTGTTATATACATACTATAAAAGTAACAAAACGCTCAATCCACAGAGAAATGCACATAGTCTTTTTTCAGTATCCCTGCCTTTAAATAAGCCGTCAAGGCTTCTGAGAAGTTGTGATGTCACAATTATACTGTACAAAGGTGGAAACTGCCACTAGAGTTCTGTTGAAGTCATTCCCTGGTTGCAAAGACAGTGCAGAGACGCCAGGAGCACAGATGTGGAAGACCTGGAAACACTTACCAATCAGAGCAGACTGGGATTTTTGAGAGGGGGTCTTAAAGAGACAGGCACTAAAACAGAGCATTTCAGACAGAGGGTGATCACAGTTACATTCAGGCAGACAGTATTAGAAAAATAATGTGTTTTTTGAACATTAAAGCTTGAAACCCCAAATAAAAGTATGAACCTGAAAATGTGCATAATATGGGACCTTTAAGGTACAAATTTGTGAGTTTATTTTACAACAAAATAGCGTTTAAGATAAGGGTGGCTGCCTAGCCAATAAAAAAAAAAAAAAATGCAACAAGCCACAAAACCTGCTCTGTCTGATCAGGGCCTAAGTCCAAAACTACTGCACTTGTTCAAGTTTGATAACACTGTACCCTTACCCTATTGCTACCTTTACTTTTTTTTTTCTCATGCAATCATCAGATAGCCAACGTCAATCAGTTAATACACTTACATGCACTTATGTAACTGGGTTATCTTTAGCTTTCTCCAGTAAGCTGATTTCTTAAATGTCATGTAAACTAGAAACTTGGTTTCTGTAATGGGGGTAGGGGGATTAGAGAAACCTAGAAACCCGGTTTACCCTGGTCGATTTCTCCTGGGGAATAGCAACGTCTTGGCTATGCATAGGGGAAACTGGGTTTCTAATCAGCTTTTACAAGTATGTATGTGCATAACAAAGACTTCAGTCAGTGGAACAGTAGCAGCAGAGTGGGTGGATGAAAGGAGAGATCATTACACAGAGCAATGTATCCTTGCATTTAAAATGATTCCAGTCTGAGTCTGACTGGAACTGGACTAACACAAAGAATACCAGTCTCAACTAGTTGTTACCACTGCCGAATGTTTAACTTATTATATTCGTCTTCATGCTGTAAGAGAAAGATATACACATATATGTGTGTGTGTGTGTGTGGTGTGTGTGTGTGTGTGTGTGTAAATAAATCAAAAATCTGAACTGACACAGCGTCTGCTCTCACTACTACAATTAAAAAAAGGAAGCCATTGCTCCAAAATAAGGTCAGAGGTAGAGAAGAAGTCTGATTACTGGTCTCCTGCATGAGCACTAACAGGCTGTCATGCACAGAGAATGTCTTTTGACTGAAATATGTTATTCTCCAAATGATCTGTCCAGTCATTGTGCATGGAGCATGCTGATTTATAAGCATGTCCATAAATAACATAGTTACATAAAGGTTAGCCACAGGGTTATTTAAATACTTTTTGCCATTTGTTCTGTAATTGCTCTTACAGCACATGCAATTACAACACCATGAACTAATTGATAATTTCATTGTAATTGTGTTTCCTCAATAATAACCTATATTTGATGAGCAGGAGTGGTGAATTATGCTATCGTGTTTTATGAACTGTACAGTTTAATTGGTATTCTATACAGATACCCTCTACATATCTTCAAATACATTCTTAATTAATGGTCGTAGCCTGAAGAGTGACATTCTCGGTGGGACAAAATTAAAATCCCCCCCACCCTTCTGTCTCATGCTGCCTTAGAGCATATAGTCATGGCGGTAATTGTTTTTCAACAGCGTAATGGGGGGACATTGGCTTTTTCTGTGCACTGCCCAGTAGCCCTGAGGGGGAGAGAAAGGCACTAATGATCTACATATATAACCCCAAATTGACGTGGAATGCCGGGTACCTGGGAGATTTATGCTGCCAATTTGAATGGTTAAGCGTGTTCCTGATGAGGTCTGGCTGGTTCCATATGCCGCTCTCAGACAATGGGGCTCTCAGTGGGTCTGAATGGGCCTCCATAGCTCACATGGCTGGCTCTATTCTGCTCAGATTAAGTGTAAGGGGGTCTACTTAGCACAGGATCCCATGCAGAATGTGCTCCGTAAGCTGCTCAGTATAAACGGAATATAAGGGGGGAGTTCGTATGTGGTTGCAGACCTGCATTTACATTGTTGTGTTATTATGGCTTTATTCTTATGTTTACCAAAAGCAGATGGCACATAAGATTAAATAGTTATTTCTTAGTTTGCTTTATAGCAGCTGCTACAGCATTAATGGAAGTTATCAGTATGGTTGAACTGCATCTTTACCCAAACATATTCCTTTGGCTGGAAGCTTCTTTTTATGTATAAATTATATATAAATGGGTTCACTCTTAACAAGACATCCATAATTTAAAAACTGACATGCTAATTTTTCTTAGCCTTTGAATAAAACTTCAAATTAGAGAAACTTTTGATGTTATTAGCTATCTTAAGACCTTTGCATTCAATCAGAATCTTTAGAAAACCAATCATCTGTGAGCAGTAATACCCCTTTTGACCTTTTTTTTGATTTTATCAGGTGTGATATCTCAGAAACTGTTGATTAATATTTGATGAAACCTGGGGGCTGCATCTCAGCACTGCATTCCAGTATTTTCATAATTACACTGATTAGCCTGAGGGAGATGCTACACGTAGGTCAAAATTAAAATTTTAATAAACAGACAGTCCCAAAAGGTCCACTCCACCTTTAGTTTAACTTTAGTTCTTTCTGTCCCCTAAAGTAAACAACTACAGGGTAACATAACCACTACTGATTGGCGAAGAGAGGACTGCATCTTTCATGGGGGACAACATATCTACTGCTGCATTGTTTAAAATGCACTTGCGTAGTGCTCTGCTATAAACCCATCGGCAGATCTCACCTCTCTGTGGATTCCTTCCTTAGAAACTCTTTCCTCCTTTACTTTTTCTCTCAGGGATCCAAACCAGCCTGTCCCCCAGGACACCAAGTTCATCCACACCAAGCCCAATCGCTTTGAAGAAGTGGCATGGACACGCTACAATCAGAAAGACCAGCTTTACCTGCACATTGGCCTGAAACCCCGGGTCAAAGAGCACTACCGGGCCAACAAGGTAGAGTTAGAAATTGCTATAATGTACTTTCTGTTGTGATTTTGATCTTTCTATTCAAGACTGTGAGTGCTGAATACTGACGATAGCCATCCTGGAATGGAATACACAGATTTTGGAGAGGAAATTTGGCAAAGCCAGCTATCTGGGTTTTAATAAGTTTTATGGCACTGGGTCACTTAAAATTACGATAGATTACAACGGTAACCTATGATACACAGCTAACCAGCTCTGGAACAGGACAAATTCAGAGGATCAGATAAAACGTATCAACAGCCCAGTTACTGACCAATCAGATCACGTTTGCCCCTGTCTCAGTGTCTCCTGTCAACACATTCTCGCTCCCAACTCATCAAATACCAATGCTTGGTCAGTGGCTCTACATGTCAAACTATGATGCTCTCTGTACCCCTGTTGCTAGAGGTGGGTGAAAACGAGCAAACAAATTTTTTTTGAATGACTGTATGTCCAGTTTGTATCGGGTCAAACCAGCACATCGAATGCCTGAGTACTCATCAATCCTTTTCCCATTCACAGACTTGCTGTTATTGTACTACTGTACTTACTGCTGAGACCTTCCCCAGTCAGAGCCAACGGCAAGGCAAATTTATTTATAAAGCGCAATTCATACCCAAAGGCAACCGAAAGTGCTTTACGGATAAGTCAAGTCAATGTTACTGCCCAATAACAAAGCATGCCTAAAAGGGCTGTACAAATAATACTTTCAATTCAATTTCAGTTCCAATTTGTTCTATAAAGTCCAGTATTACAAATAACAATCAGCCTTAGAGGGCTTTAAAGACAATGGTGCATTCATGTGCTCTTCGGATGGTTGTTCTTAGGTGTTCATTAGCTGTTGTTGTAAGTTGGAAACAACGCAGAGGCTACACAGAAGTTATGTTGTATTTTATCACTCAGAGTGTTCTATGACAAGTAGCCAAGGAAACAGATCAGGTGACCCATGCAGTATGATCAGAAACTCGTTTTTCAGATTACCACATGAATGCAGTCAAGGCTCAGAGGTAACCCGGGCATCTGTTACTTGCCCCTCAGAGACAATCAAATTGTTGGTCAGTGACATTTCTGTAACATTGTATTGAGCTTATATAGCCTATAGGATGCTGAATCAATGCATTAAAATGAATATCTTATCTTTATTAACATGAACAAATAAATGACAGCTGGTAATGCATTAAAGAGTTTTGTGGGGCAGGCAGCACTAGCTGAACTAGAACTAGATCATGAAGTATCAAAACAAAAAGTTGGAAAGGTTCGATATATTTACATGTATCAACTTGGAGGAACCATTACTGTGAAAAGAATTGGCCTGCCCATCACTACCTCTAGTGTCAGTTTTGGATGTTCAAGGACGGTGCATTAATTTCCACCTGCTACATGCATAGTGTCTTCAAAAATAAAATTTCAATGTATAGCCTACATAGTTTTTAGATCTACTTCATTAGGTTCCAACAACTTAACTTGGTTAAGGTTTGATCAAGGTTTGAGTTCAAACTAAGTACATTTATTACTAACGTAACGTCACATAAGTCACGTAATATACTACCTTGCATAGTTAAAATTAATCTATATTGACTTTTGGTTTCACACATGACACAAACAGTGGTCTCCTGGGTAAAATTTATGTGCTTGTTTGACCACCCCAGCCTCCACACTACGCTGACTTTCTTGCTTTATACACTATGTCAGTTGCTAAGGGTGCATTGATATCAGATGCCAAGGGCCACTGTCAGTGTTTGACAAGTTGGGGTTTTGCTACTATAGATCAGAAATCACTTTGCTTTCCATTATAATTATGTAACCAGATTAATAAGCAATACTTATATCTGCAGATTAATTGTGCTCAGATTATTTTATTTCCAAAAGTAGCAGTGTAGCACCTACATTCCAAATCATATCCATGCAGCTCACAATAAAATTATGATATTTGATGCCACTGATGATACTTTGTGAGGGTCTTTTAGACTTAAACTATGGTAATTGTCTTTTTTTTTAAAGCCTTCCATCTGCACTCTCCATACTGATTTTTTGTTGCCTTATTTTACTCTATGCAAAGCAAAGCTTCTGAATCATAAAAATTCATCTGAGATATTAGTATCCAGCTTGTCAGTGTGACTACTGTACATTCTCATTATAATACAATGTCACTGACATTGGTATGCTCTTCTAAAGACACTTGTCATTTATGGTTTCTCCTCATTTTCTCTCCCACGTCATATTTTCTGTCTTCTTCTCAGGTCAACTTGTGGTTGGAGCTGGTTCCCCATCTGCACAGCCTCAACGAGGTCACCCAGCTCATCCCCACCACCACCAAGGTTGGCACTAAATTGTCTATATCTCACCCTGCTTCTAAAAATTAACTACCTGAGTCGTTCCCTTTACAGCAAAGGTTTTGGAGTAGACCCAAGCAACTTAAGAGAGGAATTTTAGAATGCAATATTCGGATTGTTTGTTGACCCAACTCTTGTCCAATCCTGCCCTCAAGTGCCCCTTGTGAGCTCCTGCTTCTGTGGTTAGACATGATATGATAGACATGGTACATATATTAAGTGCTATAAGAACAGATGCATTCCAAGAGAAAAAGTCTCAACCCATATCTTGGCCTTCTATGTCTGGACCATAGAATTATTTCTCCTAAGTGAAAACAGAATAAATGAACATTTCCTATTCGCAATATAAAACTGTGTGAGACAATAGACAGCAGGCTCGACAGTATTACTTTTAAACCACTTTCATGAGCGTCTCTATATTGGCAAGTAATTAAATTATAACCAGGATTTTAGAACTAGTAAAGAGTAATTTAAAAAGATACTACAGTGACTTACTAATACAAAGAATCAGCATTAATATTTTTTCCACCAGCACCCAGATTCACATTAGTTCAGTTTTAGACACTGTGAGTATATGAGTAGATATTTGTACTGCTGGTATTGAATTTGACTCTGAACTAGAAAGAGAACCAGAGATTTGTTAGGATCATCCTTTGAAATTTGGGGGTACATTGTGGTGCAAACCTGCCAGCCAGCTGTGTGAGGTTTTTGCATGTTCTCTCCAAGCCTGTGTGGGGTGCAACCTGTCAAGGATGTACCACACCTCCTGCCCAGGAAGCTACTTCTAAGTGTGGAAATGGCCAGGCTAGGTGCCTCCTCTTGCTGTAATGTTAAAGCTAAGCTAAGATAGCCACCTTCTGGCTACAGCTCCGTACTTAATGCACACACATAAAGGACAAAATCCTAAGGTGCAATATGACCAACAACATAAACTCTAAAAAAAAACAAACCTCTCAGATAAAGTCTTCAAATTAATTACATACTGACCATTGTTCTTTCTGTCTTTAGATCCCTCCACCAGAGGCTACCAACCGCACTCCAAAAACCAAGGTTCTGGTGACCAAGCGCCCAAATCCGACTCCATTCCCCACTGAGACCCAGGACAGCCACAACCAGCCACATCTGGTGGACCAGCGTGACTACTCCACTGAGCTGTCGGTGACCATTGCTGTAGGAGCTTCCCTGCTTTTCCTCAATATTCTGGCCTTTGCCGCCCTTTACTACAAGAAGGATAAGCGCCGGCATGATGTCCACAGGCGCTGCAGCCCTCAGCGGAGCGCTACCAATGATCTCGCTCACACTCAAGAGGAGGAGATCATGTCCCTGCAGATGAAGCAGCACTCAGACCTGGACTGCAGGGGGGTGAGCGACTCCCTGCACCCGCACGACGTAGTGCTGAGGACTGCCTGCCCGCCGGACTACACTCTGGCCATGAGGCGCTCACCGGACGACATCCCACTCATGACGCCAAACACCATAACCATGATCCCCAGCACCATGGGGGGGCTCACCTCGCTCCACTCTTTCAACACCTTCCCCAGCAGTGGGCAGAATAACACCCTGCCCCACCCACACCCACACTCACACTCCACCACCCGGGTATAGCCATGTGGATGCACCCACGCAGGCAGGACTCTGATGGCTGAGGCAAAAGCTAGCACCACTGCTGCAGCAGAGACTTAAGGCCGACATGCTGACAAACACAGATATGTCAGGAGCTGTAACGCCAGCCTGGAGTTGTCAGACACCCATGGAATTACACTGGGATTGTACAACACCCTGTTAATACCTGAGGGAATATAGTCAAGGGATTTCTGGGGGTTTGGACCAGAGGAAAAAAAAAGAATAATTATGTTTTTGTAGAAAAATAAAAGACAAGCAGAAAAAAGTACAAATAAGGAGTTGAAAAAAAACAACCTCACAAGCTAAAACAAAGAGGATGATGTTTTTTATTATTATTTTTGTTCTGATATTGCAGCAAAACAAGGTACAGTAAACTACTTTTTCTTTTTAGCGACAGATATGGCCTTCGGGATCTTTTGACAAATGACTGCTTGACAGTATTATCTGGAAGCAGAACAGAGCATCAGACACGCCTCGGAGGTAAGAAGAGGGGAGCACTTTGTAAAAGAAAGAAAACATATTGTTTTCCTTTGGCATCACACTGCAGATTACTCTGTTTGTGGGGCACAGAGTAGATGCGGCGCAAACCAATTTAGGCATGTGTTAACTTCATAAATGGAGGCTATGTAAGATAAAGCAAAAACAATTGTTGAATAGAACAAAGGAAGGACTGGAAACTCCAAGGAAAAAAAGATGCACAATGGAACCATTTTGCGGAAAAAAAATGTCACAGATACTTTTCATTCATTTATTTTTGAGGATCGGGAACAATTTTATTGTATAGAACCTATTTACATATCTAGATCTGTACACTAAGCACCAGGCTGTTTCAGCCCTCTTCTGTTGGGGGGGTGGGGGGGGTGGCATCTATACTGCAAACCTGCCAGGGGGAATCGGGGATCCACCTACTGGCTTTCTGGCAGTTCCAACTTCAACACAGAGAGCTGGGGGACAAAGGATAATTGGATATTTTAGCACGATGCGCATGACAATTTATCTGCTTGATGGCTGCTCTGCTGATTATGTCATTATTAAGAATAATTTTCACCCTCTCCCTTGCATTGGAGCAATTTCCAACGGATTTCCTGATTGGATTACAGGAAAACACACACCCTCGCAGGACCATGGGAAATGCAGTTCCAGGCTGTGGATGTTGTGGGCTGGAGTTGGGGACAGAAATGGGAGGGGCTGGGGATATGGTAAAACTTTCTTGCATAATATAGCTTGAGTGGAGCTGGGCATATAAGGACTAGTTTTGTACTCTGTGTGTTGGTACTACTTTTTGATAGTGGTTAAATCACATTACACTGTATCAATCAAACTCATTGTACCTTCAGTTGAGATCAATGTTCTTTGCTATTCTACCTATTGGACCACTTTACCGTATAGAAGTAATTACCTGCACTGTTTATTCCATTGCCCACTTTCTTTTTCTTTAACTGGAGGGCGTGTTGATTGAGTGATGCAGTGGATGCCCATTGGTCTGGAAAAAAGAGGGTGAAAGAAGGGGAAAATATGGTGAAAGAGTGAATCTCTGGGCTATGTAGCTTTTCTTTTCCTTTATCCAGCCAAGTTCTGTGGAGCTGTTTAAACATGAATGCCTGTACATGACTTGTACAAGTCAAAGGCCGAGCACAGACAGATCACACTGGGTAGAACTCTGGAAATGCACAGCAGGTGGACATGAGGAAGAGCTAAGGTCAGGGTAGGCCAATTCCCATGATGTACTTTGCATCTAGTTTTCATCATTAGCCAAGGTTGATCATTTTTGGAGGCACATTGTGTTATGGGAGGAAGAAAGAAGAAAGGCCTCCCATAGCCGCTGAGAGCCACAGTCAACCCTCTTTACCTCACTTTAAAGAGCTACTACTTTTCTTCTTTTGGCCCCACTCTTTTTCTACTTAGGATTCTCTACTGTCTCATCTTTTCTACTGAGCTGACAGGTTGGGCTGTTTAGCAAAACGGTTTCCCCCTCGCACCCACACCGTCTTCAGTTTACCGTCTCCTGCAAGACTCTCTGCCATCACTAACATCTTTAGGTCAGTGAAGCCTCGGCAGCTAACGATGTTTGCCACCGTAGTAGGAATGTGTCATGCAGCAAAGCAGACTGCAGTTGGATGTAGTCGCTTAAGAGTCATTGCAGGGGTAAAGTGGTGATCTACAAAACAGAGAGAGAGGAATACCCTAGATGGCGAGTCTATTGTGCTCAGATATAGAAGTCTGAATGCTGGCGCAGAGATGCTACTTGGAAAGCTGAAACGCTTGTCTCCCTGTTTTCCTTTCACTAAAGTGTAGATGTGTGGAGGCCTCTGTTGTGAGAATACATCCTGCCCCTTTTGGCTCGCTCACAGGCACTGTGCAGTCATTCAAAATAATGAGTGCAGACTACTGTTACCACATATAACACTGCAGCAGACAAGATGGATTGGGGCGGGGGCGGGGGCAGGGGGGGAGGTAAAATCTAGTCTGTCATAGGGAGCGTTGCTTTTTGGGATAAGATTTAAATTGAATAAACTAATTACATCTGTTTGCTCCAGATTGTTTCTCTGGATGAAATGAACTGCCAAGGCTTGATCTGGGATTTAAACAAAAGGAAGATTCCAAGGCTATTATCACACATCATCCTCATGGGCTGGGGACTTTTTTTTGAATACCCTTCTCTGTAAAAACAAGCCAACAAAATTAAAATAAAAAAAGTGTGAATTTCCGAATCTGGGGACGATCTGCCCTTCAGGTCTATTGGCATTGTATCGACAGGCCACTAGCTTTCCAGCTCTAACACTCAGCCTGTCTGTTTCTGATTGCCCACACACACACACAAACATATGCAAATGAAAACGTGTGTGCAAAAACCCTCACACACAACCATGCGCTAAGTGATTAGGCTTGGGCTTTCCAAGGGTTTTGGTATCTACTAAAGGTATTGTATATAAACTAACACCCTGACTGCTTGCACTTGGACTCAAGATTTATTAGACCCATATAAAAAGTAACCTGACCTTGTTTTTGTAACCCAAGCCAATGACTGAAATACATTTCACAAGATGTGTTGGTGAACCTTGGAAGAAAATGAAATGCTGATAGTCAGTGTTTAGAGCATTTTGATAACAGCAAAAAAAACAAAAAAATCTTCCATGCAAGACAACATAATTGCCAAGAGGTTCTCACCACTTCCATAGTCATTTTGAAATATACAACACTGTCTAACTGTCAGCTATGCTGGAATCAGACTACACAATTATGACCATTCCTAGACCTAGACTTATTTCATAATGTTAATCCATAGAAGCACAGAGCACCACTTATGCACTGATGTAAACATGCAAAGCAAAAGAGGAATGATATTTTATTTCATTTCAGTGTACCTGTGCACCACTAGACTTTCACCCTCGGGTCATGCATCACCCTTTGCACATATTCTGTGAACCCAAATGCTCACCATCTTTTTTACCAGCTGGAGAGGAGAAAAAGCTCTAAGTAACAATAAATTGGTTCCAGATTCACTTCCATTCATAAACCTGTGTGTAAATATATAAACATCTGTTGATGGCCTATGTTTGTCATGTAAATAATGAATACTGCAAGATATTAATGGATGAGTCAGTTCGTACTCATCTCCAGGTCATTGAATACCGAAGCTTTGCCACACCCCTTAGCGTGAGATATCGATGCCAAAGGCACCCTTTAGTATATTTATGAGATGCACTGGGTTTTATAATTCACTCTGATCTAAACCCATCCATGGCAATACTCGACACTGAGAGCAACTGACATATTATAAAGAGCGAGAAAGTCAGCAAAGGGATGTAAGAAAGAGGTGGATGGATCAAACAAAATCAGACTTTCACTCAGGAGACTGCAGTTTGTGTCCTGTGTGAAACCAAAAGTCAGTGTTGTTTTAACATAACATGACAATATTTAAGTAGCCTACCTACATTTTATGTAAAAGCAAAAGTTAATGTTGTTTTACTGTAATGTTACATAATTTACCTACAGTTGCCAAGTGTTTATGTCACATACCTAACCAAGTAGTTTTTTTTGCCTAAACTTAACCACAACATTAATGTTGTGTTACAATCTGTTTTAGCTGTACATCACTATAGACGCTAGAGAGTGCGCTGTGCATCACTATGAGATGCCAAGGGGTGTGACAAAGTGGGAATCAGGACAGGTTGTTGGCATCCAAGGTTTAGCTTACCGTATCTCCACCAAAAACTTTAGGATCACCTGATCTGTGGCAATCTCAGAAGCCAAAATCATTGTGTAGTCTGATCCAAGCATGGGACTGTTGTTTTGCAGACCTACCATTGCATTTTGGAGTGCTATTTATGTTAAAACCATTTAACTAAAAACCATTTTGTGCCACTGCATAACTGCATTTTTGTCATGTTGCACTACAAGGCAACAATAAACCTTTTCAATGTTGAATCCTAGGATTGCACAATGGTGATACTTTTAGAAAAATGAATTAAATACAATTCATCAGGTCTTGTCAGACTACACATTTAGGTATAAAGTCATTAATTGCATTATAGTCGAAAATACAGTTATCTCTACATTACTTAATTAGTAACATGCTGCTGGTAAACAGTTAAGTACCTCCATCCATGAAAATATCAAAGGGATTGGGATAGTGCATTAGTGAGCATTCGCCCAATTCAAGCACTGCTCTCCAGAGAAATGACATGAAGCAAAGCAAGGTCCACCCATTGAATTAAACATGTAATTGCACTGATGGGTAAATAGCCGAGCAATTGCAGGGCCATGCTAAGTAGCTGACAGCTGAGGATGAATGCTAATTAATAACTTGCCATGCGTTCAATTGTCTGACTGATGATAGGTGATGAATGCAAGCCAACTGTAGCATGAGGGAAGCAAGAGAAGTGCTGGTCAGCACCTGACATATTTGAGATTAAAAATGGAAATCGCTAGAAGCAGTTAGGGACTTAATGTATGGTGGCAACTGCTAACAAGATTTAACTTGTGTGGTGACTACATGCAAATACAACAGTCCTCGTTTTCTCATACGGAACAAGCAGTCCTGCTGGATTGCTCGAGGGTGTAAAACTAGATGTAGTGACTAAAAAAGTTGTTGGAGAGGAGGTGCTGCAATGACTCATGAATCACGGGTTATATAAGTGAGGAAATGTATTAAATAGCTTTATAATGCCTACAACTGACAGGAGAAGCATGGTTAGTGAAGCAAATTGAAACCGTATCATTAGTGAGGAAAAACTGCAACTTTTGAAAGTAAAAGCATTGGATGACCTTCACACCCCTGAAGAGAAGTGCAAGCTGTAAAGATTGAGGGAGCTAATGACAGCATAACTTATATTTCTTAAAACTTACATAAGCAGGTCAGAAAAAAAGAGTTGGAAGATTGATTACATCTTGAACTGGCTGTACAAATTGAGAGTCAGCTACAGTAGACCTTAGCATGACTGAGTGAAGTGCTAGCTAGCTGCTGCATCCCCTTTGACTGAGGAGATGTGAGAAAAATTTCAAATACAGAGTACAGGAAAAAAGTAAGACTTGGAGGAACCACTCACTGACCACAGAGAGAAAACCCACCATCTTTAATGAGTCAGAAGCAATTCCTGGCCATTGCATAACAGACTAAACTTAACAAGCTCACATAGCTACAACATAAAGCACTAGGTATGTACATTTGAACCACTTAACAGCCCCCAATGTGAGCATGGGCACACGGCGCCTGACATAGCTATTCAAACTTTTCATGTGCATTTGGCAACCATATTGGAGGACACCTGCTTTTCATAACAAGCTTATTTTATTTATCAAACTTCACGAACATCTTAGACAGAAGAA